TATATATTGAAATCCTCCTTTCAAAGAAGCATCACTGAGTTTTAACATTTTAACATCAGATGTTCATTTGAAATTAACTTTTTTTATTTATCCTCACTATAAAATTTATTATTGCAAACATTAGTATTATATTTTTTTGAGGAAGGCCATAGTCTCATCTAAACTGGAATCGTTTCTTTGATTAGAATATTTTAAAACTCGGTATAAAAGGGGATTTGATACCACAAAAATAAAATGTTATTCAACTGAATTAATTAAAAAAATTACTAATGTTTGTAAATATGTTTTTATTTTTATTTGTAGTTGTAGTTATAAGTTAGATTAGTAGAAGTATTTTCCGCCGATATATCTTTGAACGGCTCGAAATTTAATTAATTTACGAATGAAATGTACTTTATAAATTTGTGTTTTTGTAATTTACTTTTAGTGATGCTGCTGGAAAAGGTTTGGGGGAAGTACCTTTCTCTCGGCAGCTATTGTTGTTTCAGAAACGGAAAGAAGCACGTCTTGTGCTTGAACCCAGGAGCGAAACCTCCGCACAATTGTACGGGTTTCAAGGAGATATTACCCACAGACAGTTCGGAGATCCTGTACATCTTGGATTACGTCAACGAGTTGAGGGATGATGTCGCCCGTGGAAACATCAGCGGGTGGCCGACTGCATCGGCTATGAACGAGTTGACGACCAGCATGGAGTTGAGTTACATAGCCAGATCCATGGGGGCGATGTGCGTCGACGACCTCAGCGACAAGGAGATCACCAGCGTACATTACGGCAACACTTACACTATAATTTCTAAAGATGACGTTCGCGTGGGTGATTCCTTGCCCAGGCCGGTAGAAGTGGTCGTCGATGAAATCAACAAATTCAGGTTAAACACAACGACCAAGAGTTTACTCGAGAGCTTCGATCCGCAAAAGGCCGATTATCCGATTGTCGGTCTTCTTTACGATTTCCTCCGCTGGGTGGGATGCACTTCGAACACGAGGCTGGCCGACGAAACCAACGAAGAAAGGGTGCAGAGGGAGAAGGACGGACTCTCTCCACTGCTAGACTACAAGGTTATCTGTGTGGCCGGACCTGTCGAAGGACTAAGGAAAGGGGCTTCGAAATCGTACCAAGAAGGAAAGCCGAGATCAAATTGCTATTGGGAGCTGGAAGGGTTGAACACCGAGTACCCGCACCTTTGTTCTTCCGCACTTACAATGTCCAGTCGCAAACAAATTGTCGCAGCCTTGCTCGGTGCTATGATTCTCACCATTGACATCCATTAAATTTGGCAAAAATTTAAGAATTTTTTCATAAATCGGTTTTTAACTAGGAGAAACGAAAATCATGTGTAAAATACATTTCACTACTATAGCGTATTGTTTTTTATTCATATTGAAAACTATTTTACATCTAGTTTCATATTTGCATCCTATGTTACTAGTTTATTCTATTTGATGCGTTTCGTTATTTCGTAATCATTAGAATATGGAGAGTTGGTGTGTTATTTTGTCAAAAGTAGTCAATTTGCATAAAGATCACTCTTCAACTCAAAGTCGTGTTGGATTGGTCACTGTTTGATGATCAGTATTTTTCTTAGGTCGCTCTGTCTCATCAAATGCTAAGCGATCTCTGATTCAGAGTGAGGTGAGGCAACGAGTTCTCAATCAGACCGATACAAGCCGGTGACTCACAAGGAAGTATTCTTGGCCCCATCCTTTATATCAACTATACTGCTTATCCGTTGCACCGCATCATCATCACCTACGCGGACGATAACGCAATTTAGTCAACTAACTCGAATCCTAACCAAACTACCTTTAATATTTAACCACACCTTGAGCGAATAGAAGACGGTTGCAAAATATGGAGGACAAGGCTGAATGAAAAAAATGGTACTCAGTGTATTTTAGAAAAAACTTGTTTCGTCCTCCACTATCAACAACAAAGAGATGCCGAATTCTATCCCAGTCACTCACGAACACACGTAGACAGCAGACTGAGGTGGAATCCCCACAGAAAGCTTTCAAAGCAACGAGACTTGGACTACTGCGAAGACGGCTAGGATCGAAATCCGTGTCAGCACTAAAGTAACCTTAACAACACCTTACTGCGTGAACTTTTGATATATGGAGTGGAACTGTGGGGTTCCCCCAAGCCAAGCGCATCCAATCATTCCAATCAAAAGTCCTCAGATTAATCGTCAAAGCTCCTTACTACATCATTAACCTCACTATCCACACCGACCTCAACGTTCCTTTGGTTAACGAAATGATCATTCCAGATTCCTAAAATTTCATACCAATCTCCCAATCCATCTTTATCCTACTGCCCGAGCCCTCACCATGACGCTTCGATGATGGCTTCCAGACATCCTTATTATGTATGGAGTGCCAGTAACGGCTGGCTTCCCATGGCTTTTATCTTCCGGGTGCAGCGCTGGCATTAGTGTTACTACTATCATCGTATAGAAAAATGAAAAAAAAATTGTTATATGTACTAATATGTATACGCTACAAATAAAAAAAATATTTTCAAGTTTCGGATCATACTACCTCTTTAGTTTACCCTATTTGACGCGTTTCGGTATCTTCATCAGTCAATGAATGGTCGGTGTGTTAGTTTGTCAATAGAATCCTTTTAGACAGTTGGTATAATGATAAGGAATGAAAGAGGAGTGACGGTCTTGCTTGACTTGCCATTTGATGGATCAGTTTTCTTTGCTTGATAAGGTCGCTTATTCTCATCACATCGATCATTCTCAGAAAGTTCATATATTTCTTTCCGATTCTCCTTTTTTCTATTCTTTACTTCTGTGCGACTGTTTCCTTTTCTTTATTTCTGTATGCGTTTGCCTGTTCCCTCTTTCTCTATTAGTTATTTAGCTTCGGTCTGTTTCCCTTTTTCTATTTCTGCATCTGTCTATTTCCCTTTCTTTATTTCTGTATGTGTCTGTCTGCCTTTCACTGTCTCTATATATACGTCTCTCTCTCTTATGTTTATTAACTTTCTTCTATTCACACACACACACACTCCTTTTTTTCTATTCACTCTCTCTTACAAACTTATGAACTCATTAAAAACTGTGGTGAGACGCTAACTATGGTATGGTATTTAGTTTAATCTAATATACGCGTCCTAATGCTTATATAATATAAACAATGCTGAGGTTGGATTTTTGAAAATGTTAGTTGAAAAGGACGTGTTTGTTATCTTGAAATAATCATTTAACTTGGGTTTTGCCAAGTTAACGTTTGATTAAATGATAAAAACACCATTAGTTAACCGGCTGTTTAGACAGTATTTAAAATGATTCAATTCACTGAAGTTGGGCTTGTGTTACAACAGAGATAAGCCAAAGCGTAGAAGACAAATGTGAGTGATTTCGAAACAGGACGAAGGCTGAATTAAGGGCCACATACATGATGAACTCCATTGTTTACGGGATTTGGTATTTAACTAGTAAATTCGCCAAGAGTCTGTCGGAGAGATAGCATCAAATAATATTCAACGCATTCGTTAAGCCACGTTTTCATCTAATTATTTAGAAAATTTTTGAAACAAAACATTTTATATGGCAGTACCAAACTCTCTATCAAAGTCAGCATATATTTATTATATGATGGCCTTCAAGTTAATTAAATTGATAAGAATGTCTCGCCTTTTTTATAATTTATGTCAGTTTCGAAAAATCGCCCTTGAGATTGTGAAGGAAGCGATATAAAACGCATTATATTAAATTAAATATGAAGCTTCTAGATAAACTAGTGAAATGAAGAATATCTCCGAGGTTCCTCCTGTCAATTTGGCTTCTGATAAGTACACCAATTGAAAGTTTATTTGACTCGACATTGTGTTCCATAATTTAATTATGTACGGAAGGGTTTCTTATCTTAATGAATTTCACACGCTTGCTAATATTCATGACATCTGCGTTCGCATACTTAATCCGTCTCTTTATTGCCGCAGGATCCGACATGAGCACTTGACAATAACAACTCTCCCAACTGTGTTCTTCGTTTAATTGGTTCAATAGCTAACTAATTTGATCTCTCACAGGGTTTTATTTTGCTGTCCTCATTAAACCTGCTCGGTTGCTCTCTATCCACTCATACTGTCATTTTCTCCCTCACTCTTTCTTTGTCTGTGTCTTCTCTCCTCTTTCTCATTACGTCTATGTCTGTTTTGTTCTCATTCTCCATTTCCTCTGCCCAGTTTTCATCTCTGTACCTTTCTTTCTCCGTCTGTATCTCTAATCATTTTGTCTGCCAGTATTTTCATATTTTCATCTTCTTCTCTTTCTCTCTCATATTCATTTATTTGACATTTATTCTGTCCACTATCTATCAAAGTCGCACTTTTCCTCTCTCTCTCTCTTTCTCTCCCTTTTGCTCTGTCTGTATATTGTCCCCTCTATTTCATTTCTTCTATATCTGTTTAATTTATCGGCCTAGTCTTAATCTCTGTTTTCTTCCATTCTCTGTTCTGTTTCTATTCTCTCTCTCTCTCTCTCACTCTCTCTCTCTCCCCCTCTCTCTCTCTGTACCTTATCTCCTTAACCCTCTCATTCTCTGTGCCTGTTTGTTTGGCACTTTTTCTGTTCACTACCTCCTCTCTCTCTCTTGCTCTGTCTGTATCTTCTCTTTCATTCTCTGTGTCTGTTTGTTTCGCACTTTTTCTCTTCACTACCCTTCACTGTGTCTCTTTTCCTCTCTTTCTCTCTCTCTCTCTCTCTCTTTCTGTCTGTATGACCCTTTCTCTCTCTGTCTGTATCTCCTCTCTCTCTCTCTCTCTCCGGATAGAAAGGAAATGTAGATTAAGCGCGAAAGATTCGTAGAGCTAAAGGAAAAATGGGTGATAATTTTAATGTATGTCGGTATTCAACATTTTATACCCTCTTATGTGTTAGTTTACGAGTTCTAACAGACTATTATAATATTAATATATTTAGTAAGACGTAATTAAATAAGTAAATTGAAGAATAAGAGGTTTTAGATAGAAGAAAATAAGAAACTATATTTGGTTAATTAGAAATTGTATTCCGGTAACAAAATGCGGCCTCGAGTAACCAGATAATAAAACATCTGTTAAAATTTGTGTGTTAACTGTACATATTGTTTTCAGCGGAGAATAAGAAAAAATGAGAAAGCGAGTTAAAAACATAAAACAACTCTAAGATCAAAAATGGCAAAAAATGCCAAAGACAGAAACGCGAGGAACGCAGAGCTGACGAGCACAGGTGTGGGTACCTCTTGTCTAGGAAGGTCGAGACACTCGGGTCGCAGCCGGAGCGAGGTTTGCCGGTGGCGTACGGGATATCCTGGTCCATATCGCCTACTTTCGGCCCCAAAACGCATATAAGGGTGAAATACTTGTGATCGTTGCCCTGGAAGGAAGTGGAAGTACATCCGATATACAAGAAGAAATCCCAGAGGAAGCCGAGGACGGGGTACCTCTGCATGGTCTTGTAGCCGTTTTTGTTAAGAGCTTTTATTGTATGCAAATTCAACGAGACGTTTTTGATCATCTCGTTCAGCATTTCGGACGGCTTCGGCGTACGGGATCCGATACTCATCTTCGAATCCAAATAGATCCAAGAAGTGTTAAAATAGATGCTGTACAATTGGAAATCGTTGAAATTCGCTGACAAGTTGCAGTGAAAGCTCACCGCTTCGGCCAGGAGGCGGAGTTCGATGTTGCCCTTGATCCTGTACATCTTGGAGGCATTAGGAAAATTCGTCAGTTTGCCCTCAGCGGCTCTGTCTCTGAACTGGTTGATTATGCCGACTATTTTCATATTTTCCTTCCGGGTCATGTGCTTTTTGAAGTTGACACAATTCGGCTTCGGCCGGTTCCAACCGTATTTACATAGGAGGTGATCTTTACCGTTGAAACCGCAGCAGTACGTCCAGGGCATTATGTACTTGCCGTTACATTCGTGTGTGAAAAGAAATAAAAAGAAAGTCGAGATGATACTCGTTAAAATCTCCATTTTTCCGACTGACAAGTCTCCTTTACTCTCAGTGGACGTCTTCTCAGTATTTATACATTTGGTAAAAACTTTTAAAACTAGAGAAAAAATAAAATAAATTTTTTCCAGCTGTTGTGACCAGCATTTTTTTTTTAAAAAAGATAGAAATACCAGAATTAAATAAAATAAGCACAATATAAACTATAGGGTCTTCTTAATTCACTTTTATTTAAAGTAATCCTTATCGTTCATTAAAATTAATGAAAACTTTCGAGGTATGGCCATTGTCCGAGGCCGAGGATAAAAATGAGAACTTTGATTAGTTGTGCTAATAACCTAAATCTTCACTTTTTTTCTTAAAAACAAAAGGTTGTATGTGTACCACTTGGTCGATCAAAATTCCATACATATAAAAGACATTTGCAAAACGTTTTAATTAACCAACCCTCTAAATTATTAATAATATACCATATCAATGTTTATAGGTATACGTTCTAAGTTTTATGAAAAGATAGATACTATACTACAATACCTAACGGTGAGCCAGTTTTCATCACATCATAGAGGAAAACATTAGGTTCCGTTCAAAAATGATTCCACGTTTTATCTATTGCTGCTTAAAATTTTTTATGTACTATAAAATTTTTTGAACACTGAAATTCACTTAAGCAGGGAACACACCCGATGAGCGCGATGCGACGTGACTCGATGGTAGCCGACATCTAGTCTCGTTTTGGTAGGGCAACACGCACATCAAATTTACAATTAATTAATTATCATTTGTCGCCGAGAATCCAATCCGATTACACGACATTTGAAAAATGGCAAAAAGGAGGGAAAACTCAAAAGGTGGGGTTGAGATAGGAAGTTGGTGTCCGAGTGGATCGAGGTCACGATAGCACAGGTGGTAGAGCAGCGGCGTATCAAACCGAAGATCGTGGGTTCGAATCCCGCTCGTGTCATTGACTTTTTTATCTCAACTAAAAACTTTAATTAATTGTATTATATTAATTGGTCAAGCGGACCACGAAATTAGTGAATTTAAAGAGTTTTAAATAACATTATTTTGGTGTTTTGATAAATTTTTTGCCTAACAATCATAATCAAATAATTGTTATAAAAACTCATGAACTTTTATGTTTACATTAAAATAAATGTGTTGTCATTAGTATAACGACAAAATTACATACAAATCGTTTGAAATAAATTACAAAATATACTAGTGTTCGGTTCTGAAGCTACTCGACGAAAATGGTGTAATTTTATGAGCAATTGTTGATAATTTTTACGAACAAAACCATGTAATAAATTGTTAGTTAAATTAAATTGTTTGAAATGAAGTCATCAAATAATTGTTTTAAAAACTCATGAATTTTTATGTTTATATTAAAATAAATATGTTGTTGTAACGACAAAATTACATATACATAGTTTGAAATAAACTACAAAAATAATAGTGTTCGGTTCTGACGCTACTCGACGAAAATGATGTAATTTTATGAGCAAAACCAAGTAATTGTTAGTTCAATTTTATGATCAAAACCATAAAATAAATTGTTAGTTAAATTTTATAAGCAAAACCCCCTAAATTGTTAGTTAAATTCATTCTATCGATAAACGGCATTCTGGTGTTTTGATAAATTTCTGCCAAACCATTAAAATTAATTTAAAAAATTAAAAACTCATGAATTTTTGATCTTACTTAATTTGGTTTATGTTAAAACAAGTATGTTTAATTAACATAACGAAGATGAAACATATAGTTTGAAATAGAAACATGAGTGTCCGTTTCTTTTGTCTTCGGCTGTACTCGACGAAAATATGGACGTGGGGAACTTGGTTTATCGCGTAGCATAGAGTAGGGTAGCGTAGCTTGATATCGGGCAGTTGTGCACCGGGGTAGTACGATCTTATGGAAAATTGGACATTGGATATGCGTCGGTGGGTTCGGGGTCACGTCGGGTAGCGTAGCGTTGCGTCGGGTCAGTGTTTTCTTCATTTTACTCTGCCATGTACATAAACTTTAAAATCCGAGCAAGCTGTAAAATATAAAAAAATTAAAAATATTTTTTAAACGCCATCAACTATTCGGGTTATATTAGCCTTGAATCTGTATTATTCAACATGAAAACAGCTCATGGTTCTTAGTTTACTTGGTCATACTGAAATATCTTTTATTTCTTTAATACTTCACTGTTACAATGTATTTATATATATTTTCTGTTTGGCATAGGTGCTTTTTTTGTTCATGCTGGGGGGGAACATCGATTGATGTTGATCCTCCGAGCAGGATCGCTGAGTACAGGATTTTGTGCTTTAATACGATTCTGTTGTAGTTTTATAAGTAGCAATTTCGTAGGATTTAATTAACGTTGTTGTTCTGTAGGCTTTAACCACGTATTATGCAAAAAATGCTTATTCTGTCCAGCTTGGAGTCATAATTTGTTAGGTGGACATGAATGGGACTTCTTTCAAAATAATTCACAAGTATACAGGAACTTAACTTTTCCAATTCAGCTATCTTATGGTAAATATGAACGAACCATATTCAGCCAGACATCTCTGCCCTTCATCCTTTAAAACTATTTTGTAATTTCTATATATGTTCTTAAAAATATATATCTAAATATTTGAGTAAAATCTAGTTAGCATTTTTTTTCCCATTGGTTTCGTTTAATTTTTTAGTTAAGTATTTTTATTATTAATATCATAGTTAGTAAAGAAATCGATTCCTTTAAACCAAGTTTAAACAGTTTTATTCAGCAAGCGTGCTTATTCTCTCGGGCGCCGGAACTTGAATAGTGGACATATAATACATACCACCGTCTACGTACACACAAATGTTGGTCCTCCGGGCCGGATCGCTGAGTAGAATTTAATACATTGATATATTTTATGTACAAATTTCTGTACTTTATTTTTTATTATAAAAGTTTACTTGTTCTGTAGGCTTTAACAACACATTACACCAAAAAAAAGTTCTCTCCAGCCTAGTGTTCTTAGTCTACAACAATATGTGTAAATGTTAACTGTTCACCACATTATTAACTTGAGCTGTTCCACCCAGTGGCCATGTGTTAGCATACCATGTACAATTCGAATTATACAGCGTAATTTCCTCCAATCTGCATTCGTAAATAGATCCATGCATGGAAACACTTCCTTCTTGCTTTGAATTCAGTATACCCAGCTATTTTTTCCTTCCAAAATATCCAAACAATGAGACCGACTTCCGTGCTAAATTTTCAATAATGGAAAAAATTAAGCTAATTTCCGTCTGAGATTTGAGAGCCTTTGTACGGAGCGTGCTTATTTCCAGTTATTTCATAGCGATCCTAATAAAGGTGACTTGAGTGTTTCGCCGTATATGACGTCCCAACGTATGCAATATTTTCGGTGTGTGAAGAACGAACAGATTTTTAAACATTTTTAACTCCAATATCAAGACAGCTAACAAGCTTGATGCTTGAGCCATTTAATGGCTGCGACTTATTCAGAAATTAAGATCTTAACCAATGAGGAAAGAAACACATACTTATTCTCGCCGTGCATAATATCCACCAGTTCCTTATAACTTTTAGATTCATCAGTAAAACATAGATAATATTAGAAAGTTCACTTGCAATTTCAAGTTTCAACTAACAAACTTTTACTTACATAATGGTGGCTAATCTCATTCCAACTCTAAGCTTGTTGATTTGTTAACTACCTTCCAGATGTTATCTATCATTCTAGCAAACTTTGGTTACTATCAAAACATAAGAAATATTTTAACGAATTTTAATACGAAGCAAAATATGTTCAAAATTGCCAATATAACGCATAATTTCTAACATGCGTTTTACACATTAACATCTCAAAGTTATGAACAAATTTTCGTTTTACTTTTCACCGTTGTCGTTTTGAAAACAAATTACTTCCAGAAAATCAGTCAACAGACCGCATTCCTTCTCGACAATCATTACACATTTAAACGTTCATTAGTGTAATGTAATTTCAAACTTTTAGCAGAAATTGATGAACCGTTTTCCTCTAATGAGGGGCATGGGACTTCGACTATTTGATCCTTTGACAGACGTGCAGCTCCTGCGCATGGCTTACATGGCTGAGCTTGTAACGCTTCTGTAAGGAACTTAAATTATATTTGCACATCTGCATAAATTGAGATCAAGAGACACGTTCGTTTCCTCCAATATGTAAGGTTAAGCACGAAGTACATAAGTTTAAAATATATGGAAGTTTGTAAAGTCAAGCATTTTTATTATAGTACATAATTAACACCCTTTCAAAAATACTTATTACTATTCAATGATCATACTTTTCTTTTTAATATAGTAGTAATGTGTGTTGTATCAAAAACATGAACAAAATAAAAATTATTACAAACTGACCTGCTCTATAGTAAAAGATCTATTTAAAAATTAATAACATTTATTATTAAATAAAATTTATTATTAACATGAAAAAAACAGCTAAAATACAATTAAAATTAAACTAACAAGGGAGGGAACGGACGTTGGATCACCGTTTTGAACAAAACTTTTTTCCATAATGATCGAAACATATTAGAAACGGGTCCGAGCGTTCTTGCTAATGGGACCATAAGAACTGAGAAAACAATAAAACAATTTAAATTTTTCTTGTGCCTTTCAATTTTTTTTATATCAAGCGAAAAGCAAATCGAATAAAGTAAGCCAAAAAAGTAATGTTTGGACGAAATATTTCGGATTCATTGTAACCACCATTTGAAATGCTTACGTACGAATGTTTTTTGAAAAAAAAAAACCAAAAAAAACAGCCGTTTTGGGGGGGTGGATTATCCAATGGACATTTCATTTTTGTCCGATGATCTGCTTAACATTTCATAACTCATCTGATTTTTATCCAAATTCCATTTTTATCAAAAAGTTTAAAAAAGTAGTTTTATTTATAGTTTTCTGAACTCCTTTAAAGTTTTATGTGAATCAATGCAATCGTTTCAAAGAGAGATGAGAACGAATGAGATAGAGAAAGAGAGAGAGAGAAAGAGAGAGAGAGAGAGAGAGAGAGAGAGAGAGAGAGAGAGAGAGAGTGAGAGTGAGGGTGAGAGAGCGGGTGAGAGAGAGAATGAGAGAGAGAGT